CATCCCCGCTCAGAGACACACACACACACAGACTCGGTCTAGCCCTGGATTTTATTTGCCTCCTTTGGCTGCCTGGGTTTGGGGCAATCTAGAGGACCGATGGGGACGTTGTGCTGGGCTGGACACGGTCCAGGCTAGCTCCTGGTTCTCAGTCTGGGGGGCCTGAGTCTCAGATCCGGGCTGGAAGGGGTGGGATGGGAGGCGTTCGGAGGCTGACTTTGGGGGCTGAGGGTCCTGGGTCTGTGCTGAGAGACCCTGCCAGAGAGAAATGGCTGGATGCCGTCATGGGCGGTGGGTGGGAGGCCCTGGTGGGAAGGGAGAAGGACTTCACAGGGATGATAACCCCACCGGGCCTCCTGGGGCCGTGCCCACGTCCTATGGGTCAGGACGCGGCGGCATGGCCACCTCAGTGGGGTGTGGCCTAAGCAGAGGGCGTGGTTACAGCCGAGCAGCGTGGCCCTGGCTGTGGAGCCACGAGTCTATAGTGGACGCGTGGCCTTCAAAGCTCGTCGTGGTGCCGAGTGAGGTCCTCGCCGTAGTTGGTGGCCTGGCTGCCCACGAACATGTTCCAGTTACCCAGGATCTCGGCCTTGCTCAGACGCCCATCCTGCGGGAGGGTCGGCCAACAGTGGGTGATGCGGGGCTTGATGGTGGGGCCCCCCCAATCTAACCTCCCAGGTCTCTGCCTGTCTCTCTGGGGCTCTGCTCATCTCTCTCTGTCCCCCTGTTCCGTGTCTCTGTCCCCTGCTCCCTGCCCCCCCCTGGGTCTCAGTACCTCTCTGTGTCTCTGTCCCCCCCCCTCTGTGTCTCTGTCCCCCTCTCTCTGGGTCTCTGCCCACCTCCTCTGCATGGGGTCCTCTCTCCTTGCCCTCAAACAGGCCCTGGCCTGGTCTGTTCTCGCCCTGCCCCGGCGGGCTGGTGCGCGCACCTTGTCGGCGTCGCTCTCGTGCAGCAGGTGGTAGGCCTCCACCCGCGGCTGGTCCTGCGATGGCGGCAGCACCCAGTGGCCCACCTCGCTGGCGTCCAGCCGCCCGTCCTTGTTCAGGTCCCGGAAGTCACGGAACTGCTCGCGCTCCGTCTGCACCCAGGCGGGCTCTCCCTCCCCGGGCTCCTCCGAGTACAGGTCCGCTGTGGGCGGGGCAGGGGGTGTGTGGGGTGCGGGGGCACCCCGGGGCACCCATCACCTCTCACCGGTGGGTGTCAGGGTCCACTGGGATTAACAGCAAGGCCAACTGGGGGCCACCTGTGGATTTGCTGACCGCTCAGAGCAGGCGCGGGGCTCGAGGGAAGACGCCCCCACGCACCGAGGAGCCCTAGTGGCGCAGTGGTTAAGCACTCGGCTGCGCACCCTAATGTGGGTGGCTGGCACCCACCGGCGGCGCTGCGGAAGAAAGACGTGGCGCTTTGCTCCCGAATAAGGGGTGACAGGCATGGTTATTGTTGTGAGACGCTATGAGGGAGTTGGCTCTGCACCCCCGTGCTCACAATCGTTGTGTGTGTGTGTGTGTGTGTGTGAGTTACATCATCTGTTGTCAACTTGAGACTATTAAGAGTGAAGGGTTTGAGAATGATGATGACAACCAATGTACAGATGCGCTGGACACAATGGATGGATGGATGGATTGTGATAAGAGTTGTACGAGCCCCCAGTAAAAGGATTAAAAAATAAACACAGAGTGAAGGGGTGGTGCCTAGCCTGGCAATCAGGTCGCAGCTTGAAGACCTCTTTGG